AGCCCTTGCATACTTCTTAGGTGTTCTAAGCCCCTCATCAGCACACATTTAAACACCTGAAATAAAGGAACTGATGGAATACTCACAATTTCTCCTTCCAAGTTCATGTCTTGCCTACCGTATTGTGAACTGAATCTGTCAGAGCTGGGCTCCCGCTCCACAGAGTCAGGTTTGGGGGACTACCCAGCCCAGTACTGCACATGTGATGTCCTAGTTTAGCTTGGTGCTCCTAACAGAAGCCTTTGTAGTCCTATGAAAATGTTTATAGTAGCCATAAAAGTATGTATTTTGCTGTAATAATCAAGGCAGAAAGATTTGTGATATAAGAAAAAAATCAACACGTCATTTGCATGGAGAAGGCTGTCGCTGTGATGTTCAGCTAGGGCTATTTTGGAGACAGAAGCCACAGGCAGCAACCAAAGGGAAGAAAGATACTTACCACAGTAGACTAGGAAACAGAACACACATAGCAAAAGGCAGCAGTGGCCTATAGCAAAGTACCACACATCAAACAGACCGATTTCTTGTCATTTTTACAGTACACATATCATTCCCACAGGATCTAAGACTTTTGACTAAGGTCATTTTATTTCACAATCACTGCCTACTAGTGTGAGGTATTGGATGCAAAATTAACTACTAAAAGCTCTTTTATGTTAGAGCCAGAGTCAAGACATACGGATGTCATCAATATGAGCATCTTTGCTCCTGTAGGGTAGAATCAAACCTTAGTTTGGAAGCAATTTATTTTACAATAGCTTTTCCCTGGCCTATGTTTTAGGTGCTGTGCTCAGCTTCAAAGCAAACTTAACAAAAGCCTCACAGTTCTGTACCTTTATTTCATTTTGAAAGAATTTGGGAGCAATAATGCCCTACATGGTTCAGGGTGGAGACGGATGCTTCAGGCCTCTGAAAGTCACAAAAGAAAATATATGTGAGCAGGTCCATCAGAGAGAAAGTATCAGTGGTAATGGTTTGCTCGGTGTCTTTTCCTGACCTTAAGAAAAGCTCCGAGCTTTCGTATGTATTCTTTATTAGAAATGGCCCGAAGGTGGGTGAGATGGTCATCAGAAAAGGCAGTGGTGGGAACCACTTTGCAGGGGGCTCAGGGTGATTCTCCCGTCTAAATTAGTCTTGCCACACACATCTTTCATACCTGCAGAACATGGAAGCTATTGGTTGCTAACTAGAAATGTTCAAACAGCCCCTACTTTAATGTTTTACAGAAATGTTTCCATCACTTCCCTCACATATGACGTGAAGGGGAAAATGAATTACGTCTTTCTACAAATGGATTTTTTTTTCCATTGTACTAAACTTCCTTATGTAATTGAGAACATTTACTGCAGGTAATCCCTAATCCTGGATATGAGAATATCTGAGACACAGGCCTGGTCCTTGATCATTTAAAGAATAGTTAGACTTTTCGTTTTCTTGGTTTTTTTTTTTTTTTTTAAGATGTATCCACCTTATAGCACTTCTTAAGGGAAGGAATCAAGCATGTAAAACATGGAATTGCATAGAATCCCGGAGCAGAGGAAGGAAAGTAAGCACTTAAGGAAACAAAATCCAAACCGGTTCCTCCAGGGATGTCTGCACTCTGTGATCAGTCTTACTGCTAATGCATTTTAACTGTGGGGAAGAAGTCAAGGAAGCCACTGAAATGATTAATGCTTTCTGTCTGCCCCAAAGGAATAGGACTTTGTTCTGAGAGGACATTTCTATATTGCCATCAATAGTGTGTTTTTTCTATTGTAACAATAATAATAATAAAATATTCCTTCTCATTTCTGTGGCATCATAAAACCAAAGCGCTTTAGAAAGAGATGAACCAAAGAATAACTATGTGGCAATATGATGTTATAAAGTGATTCACCTATTATTGTAGAGGAACAGACAAACCCCCAAAATGAGCAGAAGCAGGGACTCCACCTTCTCTGTGCAGGGATTGCCTTGGGCTACTTCCCTCCAGCTCCATCCCCTGAGAGGAGGAAGTAAAGAAGGAAGATCTGCCTGTGAACACCAACAATGGCACATTTCTCTGCTAGTTAAGTGTGATGTGAATTCTACAGAACCAACCTTCCACCTCCCACACCATGACACCTTATTTCTTACCTGTCTTCTGTGTATGCTGGCAGACGTGTCCGTTCTTAAGGACCCATCCAAACACAGGGCATAAGCTGATAGAAAGTTCAGAGAACTCATGCCTGCCCTCTGTGCTTGAGCAGGAAACACCCTCTTCTTCTTCTCTTGGGGCTTTGTGTAACCCAGTCTACATATAATGGGCCTGGGCAATGTGATCTTAGTGTCCCACAGGGAGAGAACAGGACACTGAGGACCCCAAGGGGTCGTTCACTTACTTGCACTGCCTTAGACACAAGGAAGCTTAAGATGTATCCATCTCCCACACCCCAGAGAGTGACTTTGAATTGTGGAGGAGGTGTTTGCATTGTGGTGTTGTGCAAGTTAGTTCAAAGCCTTGACGAGACTCTTAGTAGCTATGTGGTCACATTCCTTAACATCACTGTGTTCTGCTGTTAAAAGGAAGAAAAAAAAAAGTGTGTTGAGAAAAGGACCTGCTGTATAGTAGGTCTTAGTACCAAACACCTAGATTGCTTTCAGCCTGCTGTAGTATGAAGATAGTAGCAATTGTTTCATTGTGTCAGGGAAAAACATTAATATTAGAGTTATCTAAGGCTACCATTTAATTACCACATCTGCTAGCTTAAAACAACACAGATTTGTTCTCACAGTTTTAGAGGCCAGAAGTTTGAAGTCACTGTGTCAGCTGGGTGACAGTTCCTTACAAAATGGAAGAGGAAATTCTTCCCCCCAAACCTCTTCCTGATTGTGTGACTTCCACTGACTGTGTCCAAGTCACCCCAGTCCTCACCCCCATCTTTACCTGGCCATCCCCATGTCTGTGTGGGTTGTCTGCAATCTCTTATAAGGATATTCCATTTAAATCCCTCCTGTGGAATACCTGACTGAAGACAGCTAACTGATATTACATCCACAAAACCCTCTGTTCAAATAACTTAGGCACAAGTTTCAAGATTTTGATCTAGAGTTTATTTTGGAGAAAGCCAGTATTCAGCCCACTACAGTATGAAAATGTTTTCTATTCCTATATAAATTGATGGCATACACACTTGGAAGGTTATGCCACCTTGAAAGTTTGTCCAGCCTTAAGATGCAGAATAACAGAGCTTGGATCAGCAGTAAACTGACAATGAATGTCTTACCTAATGATTCTAACATTCATAGCACATAAGGACTGTAAGATCCTATTGTTACAGCAGACACTCAGCCAAGCCTACATATTTTCTGAGCTTTTAGGTTTCTGGTGAGACTTCTCTTATACATTTAAGAAGTGCTACAGATGATTATGACACAAATAATATGCACTTAGAGTTACTCAGAATCAATATGCCCAAGTTCTAGAGCAGTTTCTGAAAATGTCCAATGATATTGATGTGTAATATTAGGATCATGATAGCAAATACTTGATAAATAGTATTCTTAAAGGAATAGGATAGCTGTGATGGCTGTGGTTAAGATATATCATGGTGATTCTTGAATTTTAATATGTTACAGCCTTATATTCTATGATACCTACTAAGGGAAACTGCCTTCCTTATCATTTTAAAAATATTGACTTGTGTATTACATTCCTATGGTAAGAGTTGAACTTTGCAGTTAGAAATAGCTTTTGTATAATGTTATATATCTTTAATGCATGTAAGAGTTTCATGGAAATGAATTTGTAGTTACCTTTTCATGTGTCAGATCTGTCTTTAGCTCTTAGCACTGTAAAAATCTTTTCCATTTTGCTAATATGAATTGGCTCAGAAGCAAGACACCCTGTAATAGTCATTCGTTTCTAAAGGGACCATTCTTGTTCTCATTTACATCAATCATGGCTTTTCTGAGTGCTGATTTATACCAGAATTCCCCTTTCCCACATAAACGTATTCAGAGGCTGCCTCTAAGGTACAAATTAAGGGTCTGAAATCCACTTACTGCTAAGGGACTGATGAACCATTCATAGAAGCTGCTTGATCAAGGCAAAGATCTGGTGACATACGTGTAGAAAACCATTGTCAAAATGGTACCTGTCACTGATAGCACCATTTCTTGTCAGTTATTGACAGAAAATGGTGGCACCATTAGAAGAATGTACAATGGAAGTTGTTCACAACCAAAAATTTCAAATGTATTTATCTGTTTTATAATTAATAAATCATGCAAAATAAATCAGTCATGTATGCAGGCATACTCTGAAATGTCACTGGCATATCATAGATATATAGGTAGGCAGGCAGATAGGTAGGGGGAGAGAGAGAGACAGAGAGACAGAGAGAGAGAGAGAGACAGAGAGAGAGAGAGAGAGAGAGAGAGAGAGAGAGAGAGAGAGAGAGAGAGAAACAACTCCTAGCTGGATCATTTTTATAAGATATATGTTTAGAAGAGAATGTTCAAAATCTATGTTTAGTTGGTGGTAATACATTATTATTTTTAAGTCACATTGTTTAAGCCACAACAATCAACTGGAAAGAAAGAATTCATAGGAAATGTTTAAGTAAAGGCAAAAGGTTATCTTGTTTTTAATAAAAAGGGGATATATATTTCTTTATTAGGCTACATTACAATGTCTAATACTATGCAGGCTTGTATTATAAAATAACTAAAACTGAGTAAAACTGATTTATCCATAAGCTATTGCTTAATGGATTGGATTTGTGGGGGGGAAAAGAGCTATCTTTATAAAAATTACTGAATAATATCCATTGATAGCATGATCTTACCTGTGAATCAAAAAAGGATATACATCAAATGCATTAAAATTAAGATTCTATCTCAATGAGACCCTTTTCCTTTGTGAAGACTTCAGGCAAGTTCCAGGCAGCCAGCTTACTCTGAGGTCCGGGTGTATCTTGTGTTTAGAATCTTTTCTTTGCTAATCAGTTCATTACAGCTATGTGTTCTTTCTCTTGCAGTTCAGCAGGGGAGCAGTTTCATTGGCAGACACAAGGTAAAGTATGGGCCACTTGATGGACCTCTAGTGATTAATTTTCTTATAAACTTTAGGTTTCTAAAAGTTAATTGGGAAAAAAACAGGACAGTGAGAATTAAGTGAAGTTATGATAGTTCCTGATTTAGAGTGAAGGGCCTAACTTCTCTTAATTTTCTGATAACTGAATCTTCTCCAAGAATACACATACTTGATTAACTTTTACTTCTCTGCTTGATGTCAAGGCTTGCAAAGGTGTTGTCTAATAGATGTAGTATTTGATTGTTAAATAATAACCTAAAGTAGTGTTTCTCAACCTTCCTATTGCTGTATCCCTTTAATACAGTTGCTCATGGTGTGGTGACCCACAACCATAAAACTATTTGGTTGCTACTTCATAACTGTAATTTTGCTTCTGTCATGTAAATATCTGACATGCAGATAACATGCAACCACCATGAAAAAGCCATTTGGTCCCCCAAAGGGTTCACGACCCACTGGTTGAAGACTGACTTAGAGCTTTAGTATTACCCTATCATGTTTACTGCTTTATATCTCCTTACAGATGGTCAAAAAGACATCGAAGATGAACTTACAACAGGCCTTGAGCTGGTGGACTCCTGTATTCGCTCTCTGCAGGAGTCAGGAATACTTGACCCGCAGGATTACTCCACAAGTGAGAGTAGGTCGAACGGCAGCCCCACTGGGTTTTGTGTCTTGGCATTTCTTTTTCTCTTAAGACAGTCTCTTATGGCCCAGACTCTCTTCTCACTCACTATGTATGGAGCGAAGGATGACCTTGAACCTCTGATCCTAACTCCTCCATCTCCGGGATGCTGGGATTACAGGCGTGTATCTCCACACCCTGCTTATGAAGTGCTGAGGATGAAACACAAAGTTCATACTAGGCAAGCTCTCTACAAACTGAGCCATGTTCCCAATCTCAGCAACCCCCATAAAAGGGAGCTAACCAAAATAAGAGTACTATGACTCTTTAAAACATAACATCATCACAGGTTATGCTAGTTGCTTATTGTTGTTGTGATAAATCACCATGACCGAAGGCAACATATTGAAGTTTATTTTGGATTAGAGTTGCGTAACGGTGGTCCATAATGGGGGAGGAGAGCATGGCAGCAGGCAGGCAGAGTGGGTAGCTCTCTGATCCCATTTTGTATCACACCAGGAAACAGAGGGCAAACTGGGAGTGGGACAGGGTATACACTCTCAAGGCCTGCCCCAGTGACTTAATTCCTTCCTGAAGTCTCCCTGTCCTGAGCCTCCCCGAAGAGTGCCACCAACTGGGAAACAAATGTCAGATATGGAGACATTTCTCATTCAGACCACCCCAGGAGCCATATGCAATAAAAGTTTCATAATATCTCTATCTTTCTTCACTCTCAACAATTCCCTCCTCACCATTTAGGTTACAAAGTCTCCAGGTCAGCAGTTAGAATCTAAGATTTTCACCGAAGTTTCAACTTCTAGACAAACATAGTTTATGAACTCATATGTGTTTGATTAACCAATGCCACCACTGCCTTAACATTAACCATCACATGTATGGATCATTGCTGGCAGAGATCTTCATGACCCCAATTGTATAACAAGATAAGTTTTCCACATGATATAATCAATTTTAACTACTCTGTACTGTGCCAAAGCAATATGCAACAAATTTACATTTCTATATTTAAATTGTATTATTTCTATAGTATTTAAAGATTTACATGTATGTAGTTATGTTTTTCACCTAGAAAGGTAGAAACTTAGAAATAAAGAGTGCAGGCATTGGAGTGGACCCTTTCTTAATAAAGTTCTGTGGACTTATTTGAGCAAAATTTCACAAATAATGCTATCACACTATTAAAACACGTTATCTTGGTAATGCCAGCATTAAAAAATTCAATGAAGCATTTTAAAACATTTAAATTAAATTCAATTTTGTTGACTGCATATCAAGGTTTGTCATAAAAAAGGAAAAATGTAAGAGTAAGATACCATAGTTGTTTTTAAAATAATTTAATTTACATATTATTTCCCTATAGTACCATTTCTCTGTAGTATATTTAATACCACTATTATTTTAGATAATCATTGTGCTTACCCAGACATGTTCAAAGCAAAATTCCCCCATTTATACTCATAAAATAAGATGCAGAGTTGGCATTATACCCGGTCTCCATACTTACATTTTAAAATGTACAGTTGCCACTGCTTTTAATGGAGTTATGGTATCAAATTTTGTTTAACTAATATTTGAAATATATACACCTTATTACAGAGTATAAAAAGCAGCATACAGCACAGTATGTTTTCTTGCTCAGAGGGGAGCATAAAAGTAGATGTCTCCTTTTCATAGAATGTAGTAGCATATTTGATTTTTAGTTTTGGGAAAGGGTTAACCTTTAATAATAGAAAGTAGAGAAAAGATAAATAAATGAAAGAGAAAAATAAGAGGCAAGCAGATTAAACCAGAAGATATTAGCCCATTTTACCAACCTCACTCTTTCTATAAGCACACTGAATTGTCTTCTAAAAACATCAGTAATCCAGACATGCAGTAAACAAAATAAAACTGTTATATTAGCTTTATACAAAACAAGATCAATGAAATAAATAGAAATTAAAGGACTAGACACAGTTAGGCCAGCAATTGCTGTGGGTGCAGAGTTAAATGAAGCACACTGTAAGGTAGAATAGAAACTAATGCTGAAGTCCTAGTCAAGATTTTAAGGAGAGCAGTGGGGTATCAAAGCTGTTTTCCCTTATAAAGATGTGATGAGCATGGGACTATAAAGGGAAGGAATAGAACAGCACAGAGTCTGGTGTTAAGACAAACACTCAAAACTAAATGATCCCTGAAAACATACATGCAGGTAACAGTATACAGACTGAGCAGGTTATATTTCAGAATATATAGGTGTGCATGTGTGCATGTAATGATAATTAATGAAAAAAAAACAGGCCATGGATTTGAAGGAACAAGGAGAGGTATATGAGAGGGGTTGGAGGGATGCAAGGGAAAGGGTAAATGATGTCATTATAATCTCAAAAATAAAGAAATAAATAAAAAGTATTCATTTGACCTTTTCAGTACACACTTAGATAGAGTGCTAAAAGGAAAATAAAAGAAAGAGTAAAAGAAAAGCAGACCTTATGGTTGATCAACAGAGGCTGTGGAAGTGGTTCCGTTGGTAGACTGTTTATGTAGCATGCAGAGAGACTATGCTTCAATCCCCAAGGATGGTGCATATCTGAATCTCAGTACTTGGTGTATGGAGACAGGAGAATCAGAAAGTCAAAACTGCAGAATGAGTGTGAGGCCAGCCTGGATTATATAAGTTTCCATCTCAATAAATAGCAAGTAAGAAAATATTTTAAAAATCAATATATTGAATATATTTCCAACTTTTATCATATGATTATAAAAATATCTAATTAGGATATTTTGACATGAAGGATCAGAAACAAAGACAACAAATAAGAAGTTCACATTCACTAGTGATAATTCACAAAAAATTAAAAACATAAAATATTAATGCATGGAATCATAACTAGGAAATATACTTCTGGGAAGCTTTGACTCTGATGAGAAAGTTATGCACTGCTTACAACACAAAACAAGAATATTTTATAACAAAACTTGTATTCGGTGGAAATCTAAACTTTATTATTAAAAAATAGAGGAATGTTGTAATTATTTTTGGGAAATCTTAAGAAGAGCCAAACAAGGGCTGGAGAGGTGGCTAAGTGGTTTAGTGTACATGCAGCTTTTGCAGAGGATTGAGTTCGTCTCTCAGCACCCTGTCAGGCAGCTTACAACCAACTCTGACTCTAGTATTAGGGGATCTGATTCTGTGTCCTGGACTCCATAGGAACCTTCACACACGTACACATTCTCACTCAGAGACATACAAAATACACACACAATTAAAATAACTTAAAACAAGCTAAATAAATAGCAACAAGAAAGATGTAAATGGTAAAAAAAAAAAGTGTTTCAGAAATAAAACAACAAAAGGAAATCATCGAAAAAGTAAATATGCATGATATTTTATTTTATTTTATTGTCATGAAAGAACACTTGCCTTCTCTGTGGAGAAGCTTCCATACATTTAAAAGTCGGTAAAAGAATGTCTAGCAAATGCTTTCCTTCTCTTGAAGTGTGTGCTCAAAAGTCATGCACGAATGGCACAACCCTTTACTTTTATGTCTTACAGAGCAGTTAAACACTCCAGTTACTGCAGAGACGTTTTGTACTTGCTCTGTGTTTTAAGGAGGATTATGTACTTACTATAATGTACTGAGTAGTCTGATTAGGGATAGCTAAGATTTTCTCCTAAAGCCAACTGCCTTCCAGCAAGGCAGCTGCTCTTCAGACCTTTGCTTTGTGGGTTCCATACAAGCGCAATCACAGTCTCTGCTTTGCATTGCAACTGTGAAATTTGTCCATTTTGTGGCAAAACAGTAGTTAACTTTTTCAGTACTAAGTCGAGTTACATTGTAAAAATATATTAACTTATTTGTCCTCTGTTCATTGCTTTTTGGCTGTTTTCTAATTTAGGCCATTAAAATAATACACACACACACAGACACACACACACACATTTTTAAGTGCCAAATGATAAAGGCAGCACCAAACTTTTGTGCCAAAGGATTCTGAGCAACAGCCATGTATGTGGGGAATATTGTTACTCAGGAAAGAAATTTGTCCTTAACAATTTCAGAAACACTTTAAGACTAAACTCACTGTATAAAATATAGGGAAAAATGAAAATATTGTATACATAACTATAATTTGGAATATCAATATATCACTGATGTCAAATATTGAAAGTATCTGAACATTAAAATGTCAGTTGTTCCCTATCTGTCTATCAGTTAGGGGTCAGATATGATAAAGATTCTATTCAAAGAAGTTTAAGGAAAAGCAATTTAATTAACAGGCTATTTACAAAGAGATAGGCAAGATTAAAGGAGCAGACAGCACATGCTGGAACTCCCAGGAATTAGCAGCAAACTGACAGAAGCTGTCACCACCCTTGGACCTCCACCCTTGGAACTTGCTAGAACTGGTAGAAACAGAGTCAGGCAGCAAGAATGTAGTACTGGTAAACCAAATCTCCTTGCTCCTTTCCTAGATCTCCCACCCCCTTCTGCCAGATCCAACAAGTGCCAGGCCTCCTTGTCAATGGAGTAATTGAAAGGAATGAGTGTGGAAATCAGAAGTTTAGCCAGCAGAGCTTTCTACTGTGTAGTATAATAGTATCTGATGTGGACGCTTTTGGTCTAGAAACAGCACATAGATATGTAGCGCTCTTGGATACATCCATCTAATTAGCGAAAGCACATCAGATTTGGGGAGTCCCTTGTGATTATTCAATCAATGGCTTCATTAGCTAGAATAGCTGTGAACTATCTAATGCTAAATTGAACCTGGCATCCTGCCCTTGAGTCTCCTAATCTCCACTCAGAGGGGACTAAAACAACACTAAATAAATCTAAATCAACTTGGAAAAAAATATTAAATAAAAAGCTATTTCAATACCTGAGCATGTGGTACTTGATTTGTTATATTTAAAGCTTTAGTTATTTTTCTACCCTATGACTAATTAAAAGTAAATGTTAAATCATAGTCACCTTGTCTTCCGAATGCCATGATGAGCAGTAACTGCCCAG